GAAGAAGTCAAACTTTCACTCTTTGCAGATGACATGATATTCTACATGGAAAACCTCAAAGACTCCACCAAAAAACTGCTAGAACTGATACATGAATTCAGCAAAGTCGCAGGTTATAAAATCAACGTACAGAAATTGGTTGCATTTCTATACACCAATAATGAAACAGCAGAAAGAGAAATCAAGGAATCAATCCAATTTACAACTGCACCAAAAACCATAAAATACCTAGGAGTGAAAACTATACAAAGCTTATGAAAGAAACTGAAGAAGATACAAAGAAATGGAAAAACATTCCATGCTCATGGACTGGAAGAACAAATACTGTTAAGATGTCTATAGTACCCAAAGCAATCTACACATTCGGTGCATTCCCTATCAAAATAACACCATCATTCTTCACAGAGTTAGAACAAACAATTATAAATTTGTATGGAACCAGAAAACGCAAAATAGCCAAAGTAATGTTGAAAAAGAAAACCAAAGCTGGAGGCATCCCAATTCTGAACTTCAAGCCATATTACAAAACTATAATCATCAAGACAGAAAGGTATTGGAACAAAAACAGACACATAGATCAATGGAATAGAACAGAGAACCCAGGAATGGACCCACAAATGTATGGCCAACTAATCTTTGACAAAGCAGAGAAGAACATCCAATGGAAAAAAGACAGTCACTTCAGCAAATGGTGTTGGGAAAACTGGACAGAGACATGTAGAAGAATGAATATGGACCACTTTCTTATACCATAAACAAAAATAAACTCAAAATGGATGAAAGACCAAAATGTGAGACAGGAAACCATCAAAATCCTTCAGGAGAAAACAGGCAGCAACCTCTTTGACCTTAGCCATAGCAACTTCTTACTAGACATGTCTCTGGAGGCAAGGGAAACAAAAGCAAAAATGAACTATTGGGACCTCATCAAAACAAAAAGCTTCTGCACAGCATAAAATACAATCAACAAAACTCAAAGAAAACTAATATGCAAATGACATATTGGATAAAGGGTTAGTATCCAAAATCTATAAAGAACTTCTCAAACTCAACATCTAAAAAACAAATAATCCAGTGAAGAAATGGGCAAAAAAATGAACAGATACTTCTCCAAAGAAGACTTCCACCGGGCAAACAGACACATGAAAAGATGCTTAACATCACTCTTTATCAGGGAAATACAAATCAAAACCACAATGAGATACCACCTCACACCTGTCAGAATGGTTAAATGAACAACTCAGGAAACAAAGATGTCAGCAAGGATGTAGAGAAAGGGGAACGCTTTTGTACTGTTGGTGGGAATTGGTGCAAATTGGTGCAGTCACCCTAGAAAACAGTATGGAAGTTCCTCAAAAAATTAAAAACAGAGCTATTCTATGACCCAGCAATTTTGCTAGTAGGTATTTTTCCAGAGGATACAAAAATGCTGATTTGAAGGGGCACATGCACCCCAATATTTATAGCAGCACTATTAACAATAGTCAAATTATGGAAAGAGCCCAAATGTCCATTGACTGATGAATGGAATATAATGTGGTATATGGGGCACCTGGGTGGCTCAGTCGGTTGGGCATCCAACTTTGACTCAGGTCATGATCTCACAGTTCGTGGGTTCAAGCCCCGCATCAGGCCCTGTGCTGACAGCTTGTAGTCTGCTTCAAATTCTGTGTCTCCCTCTCTCTCTCTCTCTGCCCCTCCCCAGCTTGCTCTCTCTCTCAAAAAATAAATTAAAAAAACAATTTAAAAATTAAAAAAAAAAAAAAGATGTGGTATATGGTGATCCAAAAGAATGAAATCTTGCCATTTGTGACAATGTGGAACTATAGTATATTATGCTAAGGGAAATAAGTCAGTCAGAGAAAGACAAATATCCTATGATTTCACCCACATGTGGAATTTAAAGAAACAAAACAGATAAACATAGGGCAAAGGAAGGAAAAATAAGATAAAAACAGAGAGGGAGGCGAACCATAAGAGACATACAGAGAACAAACTGAAAGTTGTTGGAGGGATGATGGGTTGGGGAATGGATTAAATGGATGATGGGTATTGAGGAGGGCACTTGTTGGGATGAGCACTGGGTGTTATATGTGAGAGATGAATCACTAAATTCTATTCCTGAAACCATTATTACACTACACGTTAACTAACTTGGATTTAAATACAATTAAAAAAAAACAAAATATTTTCGAATTTGGCCCCCTACAAGTTTTGGGCAGAATTAAAGCCCTATTTGGGAAACCATGTATTTATTTGTCACAGGAAGAAGAGACATTCCACACAGAGGTATACTGAGGAAAAGGATGCCTGGGCCTGGTTTAGAGGAAATGGAACATAGGTGTGGACCATTGTAGTAGCTGGTAGGCAAAGTGGCAGAATGCAAAAAAGGGAGTCTCAAAAATCATGATGAGCACAGTGGCCAATCAAAATGACATCTTGAAAGAGTATTTGGGTGGTAGTCATGTGAATTCTGGACAGATGATAAAGGTTGGATCATTTGTGTTCTTTTGAGACGCTAGTGAGTCAAAGGTAAAAATACATATAAAATAATTAGAAATATAGAGTTGGACCTCAGGAAGACTAAGGATTAAAATTGGAAGATTGAGAGTTGAAAGGTAAAAGTGACAGTGGTTAAGTTACCAAGAAAGCAAATGTAAAGAAGATGAGTTAAAGGAAGAAAAGACAATGAAATAGAGGAGTAGCCAAAAAGGAAGAAGAAAGATAGTGGTAATAATTTAACAGAAGCTGAAGAGAATACTTTCAAAAGTAAGTGATGACGTCAAATACTCTAAAGAAGTCATGGAGTAGTACGAGTGAAAAAGTAAATAAACATGGTGATAAATAAAGACAAATAATCTTTTAAAGTGTGTCAGTTGGTACAGTGGGATGAGTTAAAAGGTAGAGAAATGAATCATAAGTACGCTAGTTAACACTTCTTACAAATATTCATGGTAAGAGGAAGACAAAAAATAAGGATAGTAAGCAGTAGGGACAAATTTCCATCCAAAAAAAAAGTACCTGAAAATGTTTATAAGCAAAAGAAATCTGGGGGAGAGAAGAGATGAAGTTGCAAGTTAACTGAACAAGACTGTGGAAGAACTAGAAGTCTGGAGAAGTGGAACATATCTGATTTCTGAGATCAATGACTAGATAAAAGTAACAAGAAAAAAATTTGAGGTTTTTAAAGATTAGTTAAAAGGATGACTTCCAACTGAGTACTTACTAGTAGACCAGGTTAAGAACTAAAAGACTAAAATAAAATCTTTAGAATACATAAAAAGTTTAAATAAACATTGTAGATAAAAATAAAGAAGTATTGAAAGAGAGAGAGACATGGGGCACCTGAGTGGCTCAGTCGGTTGAGCATCCGACTTCAGCTCAGGTCATGATCTCGTGGTTCGTGAGTTCAAGCCCCACATTGGGCTCTGTGCTGACAGCTCAGAGCCTGGAGCCTGCTTCGGATTTTGTGTCTCCCTCTCTCTCTGCCCTTCCCAATCTCTCTCTCTATCAAAGATAAATAAACATTAAAAATTTAACAAAGAAAGGAAGGAAGGAAGGAAGGAAGGAAGGAAGGAAGGAAGAAAGAAAGAAAGAAAGAAAGAAAGAAAGAAAGAAAGAAAGAAAGAAAGAAAGAAAGAAAGAAAAATTTAAAATAAAAATATAGGACCCAAAGTTAAAGACTACAAAGTCAAACTTGATTGAATCAAATGCTGGTGAGTAGTCCAGAACTCAGCATAAACTTCAGGAGAGTAAGATGTCCGAGTCTCATGTTGGCCTTTATGCCAAGTGAGATGACTAAAAATGTAAAGGATTTTAAAACAAAAACAAAGCAGCAATCAAAACAGATGACCCTGCAAGTGAAATGGACTATAAAGTTAAATAGGTGCTGTTAGAATGAAAAAACGAGTCAAAGCTCCTTAAAGTCACAGGGTAACGGGAACTGGAAAGAAATGAACAGTGGCTATGATGAATGATGTAAGAAAGGGGGTACAAGAACTTAAAAGCTGATGTGAAGCACTGGCCATGAAGAAGTCCAGGTCCCATGAGGTCAAGCTAATTAATCATCAAAGGGGGGTGGGGGGGGAAGTGGGAGACAGGTGCTAAAACCATCAAGAAAGGTGGATGAATCCTTGAAAAGAGTGGCTGATAAATGACCAGAAAGTAACATACAGGACATTTTATGATTTGTAAGAAAATCACTTTTATTAGTTATACTTCAATTCTAACTTAAAAAAAAAAAAATGGAACAACTTCACTTTGAATAATCAAGCTAACTGCTCTATATCAAAACAATTTTTGACTATTCTTAAAAAAATAGAAATCCATCCTAAGGGATGCCCCTATTAATGAGACAAAAATGAAAGCAATGTGAGCTGTGAATACTTTCTCTGCATAGAGTAAATATTGGGTACTCAAAAGCCTAAGTTGAATGAATCAATAAAAAGGAGTTCCAACAGTGGCCTTGTGACTGGAATAACGTCTCATTTCACAAAATGAATACAAGAAGATGGTTGATGGATAGATGTACTGCTAAGACAATGGATTACAGACAAGGAGAGAGAGAGAAATAAGACTCAATAAGGCTCCTAACATCACCCTGGAGTCTCTCAAAGTGATTGCTTTAAAAAGAATAATATTCATGAGAGTACATGCTTTGTAAATTTGTTTGGTAAATACATTTAAAACATTTGACCTTTTATATTTGAAAGTGACCATTTTTAAAAATTCTATAGGAAAAAAAAATACCCATAGAGAAATTATTTCCCTAACAAACCTATCCTTATTTCATTAGTCTATCCATTCATAAAATTTTAGTTCCAGTAATTTTGAGTTGCTATGCTGGGAAAATAGTATATGAGGCATTATCCTAAAAGATCCCTATTGCTAGATGTTTAGGTTCGAAGAGAAAAATTGGCTTCTAAAAGGATAATTGTTTTACAGTGAACTTGCTGAACTATAATTGTAATTGGTAATTACAGATGTTTAACTCATCTTACCTCATCATATGATTTACATAGGCTTTGCTACAGCTAGTGTTGTATCTGCAAAAACTACAATGGACATACGTAGGAAAGTGGTTTGCAAAATCTTTTATTTCGGAACAACACTCAATGCACTTGTGAACTCCCCGACGATACCTTATGGAGATATAAAGAAAATGATATATATTTTAAAATAAAAATAATAAGGGAGGGCCTTATTAATATTCTGTTAATAGAGGCCAGTGTGTTTAAATTAACGTGTAAACAGAGAGTTGTAATTTGAAGAATTTGTTATGGAACAACAGCTGTAATAAGTGTAAGCAATTTAACATAAGTCAATATTTTTCACTGGCATAAAAGGGATCAAATTAAGCAATACAAACATCACAAGATATAAGCACAACATATAATACCAGTATAATAAGTGAATATTATAAAAAAAAATAGTAATTCAAGTACTGTTCAATAGTTGTAAAAAAATACCTTTTTATTATTTTCTTGGCCTTTATGTCATAGTGATAGCATATAAATGTATAAGAGATATGTGTAATAAGGTAAATTTATATTAAAGTTTTTATACTTAAGATTAAATTAGAACTATATATGAGGAATAAAAGATTACCTTAAGTTCCTCAATGCTGTATTGACTTTACTTTTTTTATTGCTACTAGCCAATGTGCTTTGTTTCTTTTGTATATTAGAGATTTTTGATTTATATTTAGATTTACTTCCATTAGGCTTACTTGCATTAGGTTTACTTGTATTGGGTTTAGTTGTATTAGGTTTGGTTGTGTTAGATTTTGTGGGAATTTTAGCAGTTATATTTTTAGTCCTTGGAGGTGAGAGCTGAAGAGTAGAAGTGCTTGCACTAATGGAAGATGTAGTTGAAGATCCTGACTGAAGAGGTCCAACTGAAGCTCGAATAGTAACCTACAAAAATGGAGATAATATTTGCTTTAGAAAATTAATCATGGCATTAACATTAAAATATCACTGTGTAATAAAAAGGTAAACATCAAGTATTTGGAAAGGGCAAGTATAAACTAAAATTAGATTAAGTCTTCCATTTATTCTAGATTTTCATACCAATTAAATTAAACTTGATATTCATTCACTTGCAGTACTACATTTTTTGTATTGATATCAGTTATGTTAACAGTTATTAATGCATAATTAGGAGTTAATGCAAATTATAAGACTATTAAAAAAGAACACATTACATAGCTATTTTTATGCTCTCCTATAACTAAAATAATTCATAAACATAGACATCAAAACTTAAATCTCAAAGTCTGAAAAATAATTCTAGAAAGGCCTGTATTATCCCTTAACAACTATACAACAAACAGATCTACAGTAAACATGACCTCCTCTTTTCAGGGGCTCATTAGGCAGGATTTATGTATACAATGGTTAGGGAGATGTTACATTAATTCATTATACTATATGGAAAGTTTAATTATATTTAGAATTTCCTTAAAGGAAACTAATATAAAGCTTATCACTTAGTATCCAGAAATTGTATTTGTTGACTGACAATGAAAAACAATTGCCTACCAACATTCTTGTTAATCATTTGACTACACTTCTCCCATGTATTGGAGGAAGTCCTATGAGATACATGTATTTTGGTATCACACAAAAGCACTGGACTAGGAATCAAAAGACCTGAGGTTAAATTTCATACCATGCCTTCCTAGCCATGTGACCTTAAGTAAGTAACTTATCCTCTTCTTTATCTATAATATAGGGCAATAACTACCTTGTCTTCCTCACTGGATTGCTGTATGGATTAAATAACAATGTATGAAAAAGCATATCGAAAGCCTAATTCTAAGGTGCTATAAAAACATTTAGTATCATTATTAATATTATTACTATTATTATTAATAAGGGAAAATATGAGAGAGGACTGCACTGCTTACATTAGTGTTCTGCATGTCTAGTCCCAGCATGGAATGAATGGATTGTAGGGATGCTGGATAGCTTCTCTTGCTCTAGGTCTTCAGAGCATGGCTTTATATTGTTTTAGTTAATTCAAATAACAGACATACCCACATTCAAAGGTAAGTACCCAAAGCCAAATATAAATGTTTTGGGGATTATTTCACTTTGGATTATCCATGCCTCTGTTTCCCTCCACTGGAGCAAATATTCAAGAGCTGACTGTATATAAAGAAGTCAGAGAAAACAGAGGTATATAAGGCAAAAAGGGAAAAGTAAATTACAATCATCAGTATGCAGTCAGACATGTTGTTTGCTCATTTAAAACATAATGCTATCCAGCAGCAGAACTTGCTTCTCTGAGGAGACTCAGTAACAACAACTTCAATAAACATCTGAGAACCTATGGCATTCGATGCACTATGCCAGATGCTGAGGACACAAAGATAAAACATGACTCCCGATCTCAAGCATCTTATAGTTAAGCAGATAAAAGTGAAATATACACTGCCAACTGGAATAGCTCAGAAATAGCCTATATGATATTGACACAACCCACTGACCCAGGGAACAGTTAATCTAGTTGCATTTATTAAAAAGGAATATCACTCTAGCACAGCACACACCACTGACCATAAAACAATGGTCAGAAGGTTTCTTTTCTAGATATAAGAATGATAAAACTTAAAGTCTTAACAAAAATCAGAAATCATTTTTAAGTATTACATTCAATAGGTAAAAGGAGGCAGGAGTTAATTTCTATTATCATACAAAATGTTAAAAATACAACACATTTAAACTCACTTTTGTTCCAGGAGGCAATCCTTCTAGTTGTTTAGGTTTTATAAATGTTCTATGATGCTGAGTCTTGTGATCCATTTTCTCTTTGCATGTCAAAAACTGCAGTCTGCATTTTGTACAACGATGTATTCCTTTTTTCTGTTTAAAAAAAAAAAACAGAAAAAGGGAGGAAAAATAATTTTTACAACCACAAATGCTGTGTCCTGAAACTGCTCTGATTCAATTTTAATGATACCTAAATAATTCTAAAAGTAGTGTTTTACATCTCCCATATAAACAGCAAAATTTTATTTCATTTTTAAAAGCACTTTGTATTAGTATTTATGTTCCAAAAATGTCTATTACTATATAGACATTGAACATAAAAGATCTATCAGTAGGTTCTAATGAAAGTTCTCTCAATAGTGGTGTGAAAGCTCTTCTAATTACAATTTTAAAGTATTTAGATACATGATATGGTTAAAATGAGCCATACTATATTTTTACCTTAGAAAAAGGTAAATTCTTTTTAATTTTTGCTATTTCCAGTTGGTTGACAAGTTGGCAAAATAAAGTCAAATACTTAACCAGACATTTCAAAGAAGGTCACTACAGAAATGGTTATATAAAGCGTCTAATATAACTTTCTGCACTGATGAGAATGTTGTATAGCTACACTGACCAGGATGGTAGCCACTACAACATATGGGTATCGAGCACCTGAAATGTGCCAAGTGCAACTGAATTTTTAATTTCATCTAATTAATTTTAGCTTGAATGCCACATTGACATTGCACAGTATTGATGCAGAGGCATAAATCAGAACTACTACTCTCCATCTACTTACTGATTGAGATCTCTTGAGTAAGTCCCTCTTGAAACTCAATCCTGTTACTATTCTACAGCTGGAAAACAGGACCCAAAAAAATCTAAATCACTTTCCCATAACTAGTTACTGACGTTGCCAGACTGCTGATCCAGTGTTCTTTCTACTATATATCAACTACAATCTTAACTATATGCTCTCATTAATTTAGAAATGATACATGTGTGTGTGTATATATACACAAACTTTAATAATACATAAATATAAAAGAATGTTTTCTCAAAACTATAATCTGCCAGATATATCACTATTTCCATTTTAATACACTCACTCATTTATAAAATTCAAACAAGGTAATATGCTAAGAAGTACCTGGCACAATTACTAGCACACAGCAGGGATTTCATAAATCAAAGCTCTTTACAAAATTCAAAGTAATGTATAAATATAATGTGTTTGTATTACTATTCTAGCTGCTTCTTAAGACTATTTTAGAAATGTGGTGAATTGGATTATATCATAGATACAGGCAATTTTTGAAAATTCATTTATATGTGCTGAAGGAAGAGGAGGAGGAAAAAGAGAAAACTTAGCCAAGAAACAGATAACCAAGACAAAAGGACAGAAAGTTACTTCTCCAGAATCCAATTCCCAGAAATCTTTTCCCTATCTGTAATCACTGCCCAGGTTACCTCATCCAGTTTCAAGGCTTGAAATACTACCTATCTGGCTGTCTACTAGACACCACTACCTGATAGCTAATATGTATCTCAAATCAACATGGACAAAGTTGAATTCTGGATTTTTCTTCCTAACTCCTTGCCCCCCCCCCCAACATCTGTTCTTTTCTCACTCTTTCCCCTATGACAGTGTATGAAAATTATACTCTTATAGCTGGTTAGGACAAAAAATCAGTAACTCACTCACACATCTTATAACTAACACACTAATAAAACCTGTCAGCTCTACCTTCAAAACCTTTCATAATCTTTCCACCCCTCATTACCTCTAACCATTGCTACCAAACCACTCACCTGGACTACTATAATAATCTCCTACCTTCCTGTCATGTTCTTTCCTCCGTATGGTCTATTCTCCCCCTAGCTGCTAATGATCTTAAAACATGGTAGATCTTTCTTCACATGCTAAAATGCTCCCATGGCTTTCCCAAGTCCTATTTCTGGTTTACAAGGCTCTACATAAACTAGCCTGCATTCTACTGTTACGCTCTTACCTCTTACTTCTCTTCCTCTTTTTAGTTTACTCTGCTCTAGCAACAACTGTCCTCTGATGTTTTTTGAGTGTCCCATGTATGCATTCACTTCACTGTATGTTTCCTCTCCCAGACTTCTACGTGGCTTATTCTTTTATTTCCTTCAGAGAGGCTCGCGTTTTACCACAATATATACATAACAGCAACCATTCCTCCACTCCCAACACCTCTCTGGCACTCTCCATCTTCCACATTTTCCTTCCACAGTACTATCACCAGCTAGCATGCATATACATTCAAACATAAACACACATATATTTATCTTTCTCCACTATAATTCAAATTCCAGAGAGCTTAGACTTTGTTTTCTTCACTGCTATATAATAACCAAAACAGCTCCTGGCACATAGTAAGGCACTCAGTAAATATTTGTTAAGTAAATGGATAGTGGGGCGGAAAGCAAGAGACTGACAGAGAAAGTACATATGAGAAGTACAATTTAACTAGTTCAAAACGTCTGCCATTCCATTCAATGAACATTTGTCCAGAATCATGAGATAGAATACATTAATCTACTATTCACTTAGTTGGACACAAGTCTTGCATGTGTTTCTTGTGTATGTATGCATTTCAATGTGATAAGAGTGATAAAGAAAACAGTGCATTTTTCAGTAATATCATGTTCAATCAAAGAAATGGTGATCTATTCCAAGGATAGAGAACTAATTATTGGTGTTGAACTTTTTGATACACATACCACATTGTTTGAGAAGCTTAAAGGATATAAGAGCGATTCTGACTATATGTTATTTCTACCCTTAGATCTAATGCCAATGTGAAATCTGGCTCTGTGATAAAGTAGTAAAAGCCTGGGCTCTGAAGTCAAATTTTAATTCTGCTTTTTATTAGGTAATAAGGCATTGAGCAAGTTACTTTCTCTAAAACTTTGTTTCCTCATCTATAAGTTAGAAATAATAATATACATATGTGATTGTGAGGATTAAATGTGATAATGTTTGTAAAGCACCTGCTGCTGCCATAAGGTAAGTGATGGCATGTGGCATATGTTAACTGCTTAACATTTTTATTAAAGATCTAATGAGCATATTTAACACATCCAAAATCACTTATATTATTTCTTAAAAGTCATACAAACTGGATTCTTAGCTCTAAAATCCCGAGACTTAATAAAAAAAACTACTTAAAAAAAAGTCACAACCAAAGTCTTCGAAGACAATAAAATGAGCCAGAGTCAACAATTCTTATTGTCTAATATCACACTAATAACGTCACCTCAATTACAAGTTTATAGTTCTGCTCAACTGTGGTGTCCTAGCCTTTGTAAATAATTAAACAAACTGTAAATACCTTCAAGGATGTTGATGATCCTTATTAATAGATTTCTCCCCTCTTTATTGATGACTGCCTGCCTCCTGAGTATTCCATATAAACCAAAGAAAACTGGGCACCAACAGCAAGTTAAGACATAAAACTCAGTTTATAAAAACCTTATAAATCACATAGCCCACATAGTGGGCCCACACATCTCTTTCAATAATTATCATTCTTCCCACATCTACATCTCACTCTGGAGCTTAGGAAAGCATGTGGGGAAAATTATGTTAAAACTCCCATAATGAAATAGCACTACTGTTTTATATCTCATTCTCCCATTCAAAATTAAAGGCCAAAGGCGAAATAAAGAGTACCAAAAATGGTGTTTCCAAAATTCTATTCTTCAAAAAAATGTTAATAGGTATTATGCAAATAAAGGGGTTAGTGGCCAAAAAAGTTTGGGGACTAATGCATACTATACCCCTTGCTTGGAAATTCACAAAGTTCACTGGCATATAAAAATTTCTAAGAAGTCCTATTTTAAAAAACAGACAACCAAACTGTTTAATATTGTAAATCTGGGCATTTACCAAATTTATTTACCAGTAACAATTTGGGGGGAAACATCTATTAACACCTGCCGGAACACTGTTGAGGAAACCTAGAATAGAAAGGTCTTGCCAAAACTTCTCCAAGAGGAGTATCATCCTAGTCACAACATAGGTGATACTAAATTCAATTGGATAAAGAAGATGTGGTACACACACACACACACACACACACACACACACACACACTCAATGGAATGTTACTCAGCCATAAAAAAGAATGAAATCTTGCCATTTGCAATGACATGGATGGAGCTAGAGAGTATTATGCTAAGCAAAATAAGACAGAGAAAGACAAATATTATTTCACTCAGATGTGGAATTTAAGAAAGAAAACAACTGAACATAGGGGGAAAAAAGGGGAGGCAAAGCAAGAAACAGACTCCTAACTATAGAGAACAAACTGATGGTTATCAGAGGTAAGCAATGTTCTAAGAGGTGAGGTGTGGATGGGGGGATGGGTTTGACAGGTGATGGGGATTAAGGAGGGCACCTGTGATGAGCACCAGGTGTTGTATGTAAGTGTTGAATCACTAAATTCTAAATTTGATACTAATATTACACTGTATGTTAACTAACTGGAATTTAAATGAAAATGTAAAAAAAAATTCACTTGGAAATTCTACTTTTATGATCTTTCCCAGTTAAAAACCACAAGTTGATTTCATGATTGTCTCTTGACTAGAACTGAAAGCAAAGTGAGCACCAATCAGCGTGCCAACTTCATCAATAATAAGAAAATGTAATGAGCTGATTAGGGAGGTGGCAAAACTTGATTGCATGATCAGATTCAGTAAGCCCAGTGACTTCTCATTTTGGCAAAGGCACTGTTGTTGCTCTTTCAAGCACTTAAGAACAGGATCAGTGTTACATAAACGTTTTCAACCCAAACAAAGGGTGGTTTAATTGCTTCAGGAAAAGAACCAGTAAGTATTAACACCAGAATTCAAGAGAAGGGTATAAGTGCTAATATTGGGTCCCAAAAATTACATAGCAGAACTAACATAAGTCATCCATAAAACAAGTGATGGCCTAAATACAGTTCTTTGGTAGAGTTCATGTACCAAGCAGTGTCATTACTGTTTCCTTTATCAGTGGCAGCTATAAAACACCACTTCTGGTCAATGATAACAACATGTATTCTCATAATAAGGGGGCTAAAAAGTGGAAATAGGTTGGAAGAGAAAATGGAAAACAAGATTATGAGTCCTCAATGTTTTCTCAGTTCTAAGAAACCACTTTCAAAATCATTCCCACACCTGATAACTATCTTCAAAATCATTCCTATATCCACTCTTGGGCTCTGAAATATCCAATCGTTTGAATACTCCACTCATCTCTCCTTTTTTTCCTTCAATCCTAGGTTTCTGATTTCCAGCTATCTTTCAGAATTTTCACTTATGAGCTACAACATCACCAGAAAGGAAGCAAGGAAAAGAAGTGAAAGTTTCACAAGTAACTCAGCATAAATCAAAATTAATCATGTCATTTGAAATAACCTTGCTTTCCTGTAGAACAAATCTAACCAATGTTCTCAGTAATAACCTATCTTTTTGCTAAAATAACATGAACAAATAAGAACTGGTAAATCTCACCTGATGCTTCATATAATGGTGCATGTAGGGTGTTGCAATTTTAATAACTTTGAGGCAAAATGGACATAGCAAGTTCTTAGTGTTTTCATGGGATGTTCTAAAATGAGTTTCCACATCAGAAAATGATGATGATCTATAATTGCAAACCTACAAATAAAGAAGGTTTAGTTTAACTTGAAAATGTATAATGATATGCAAAGTATCAATTACAAAGTAACAATGATAGGTCATTTGTTTAGAAGAACATAAGGTGCTATTAGAATCCCATTAATACAAGCAGAGAAAGATAATCTTTGAGAGAGAAAAGTTATCTTTCAAAGTTTAGGGATAGCTCCCAAAACATAACTAGATTCCCTTATTTTTATCAGCTCTTTTTAATTATCATTCCCATCTTGACTTGAATTTTCAAGCTTTAACACCTCCTGTCCTACAAAGTTTTTTTTCTGCTACATAAAACAGCACTTTCCTTTAGATTATACATGGCTTCCAGGCTATGACATTGGCAATATATTTTTATCTTCTTTTTCTATTTCTTCAAATTCTGAAAAATTACTAATCCCAAAGCATTTGGTAGAGTTCTCTGTAAGTAGAAGCATTTCATATTTCCCTTGTATGCCTACATTCTTCCCTATATAGTAAGCTAAGTCTCTACATTTGTCTGTTAGCCACTGGGCTTTTCTTTGTCCAATCGGGAGTGGGTAAAAATGGCCTGTGGGCCAATTTCAACTCTCTACTGATCCCCACATACAATGCATAAGTTATACCAAAGGTTTTTAAATTAATAAATAGTTTACAAAAGGAATTTTAATTTTAGTAACCAATTTTATTTCATGACCCATAAAAATTATATGAAATTCAGATTCCAGTGTCTATAGATAAAGTTTAAATGAACACAGCCAGATCACATTCATTTACTTATTGTCTGTGGCTGCCTTTGTGCTACAATGACAGAGTTGATTAGTTACAACAGAGATTATATAACCCTGAAAGCCTGAATATTTATCACCTGGTGCTTTACAAAAAAAAAATTTGCTGACCCCTGGCCCAAGAGGTTTAAATCTTATAATCAAAACAATAGAAAACAAACAAACCAAACACTAAGTACACAATAAAATATATGTATACCTGACAAATATATGGCATTTCACCGGGCTTATGATTGTCCTTCATATGTTGTAAAAGAATATGCTCTGTTTCAAATGATAATTCACAGATTTTGCAAATGGCTAAAAGTGGGGGGGAAAAGACATTACACCATTTTAAGATGCACACACACAGACAAACAGCAAATCATTATTTTGTATAACTGAAACTCTATGTCAATTATACCTCAGAAAAAAGTATCGTTACCAGGCAAACACAAATATATATGAATAAAATTCATTTTATATATCTATATCAATAATAACAATAGTATTGGTGGTAGTGACAGACAGCAGCTATATAGTTTTTATTGGTGTGCCAAACACAGTTCTAAGTACTTTACTTACATTAGCTCATATAATTCTCAAGACAGCATTATGAAACAGGTATTTCTATTATTCTCATTATTCAAATACTAAGTTGCCTAACATCACATAGTTGTATTAAAAGGCAGACCTGGGATTTGAACTCAAGCTATCTAGCTCCAAGATCTGTGACTTTAACTATGACTGTAGTTGTTTTTTTCATTATTTTCATATTTTAAAACTATGATCTGAGGTTTTTAATTTAGTCCCCCACATATAATGCACAGGTTATTTACCTTAATGAATTATTTACAAGAGGGATTTTAATTTTAGTAACTAGTTTTAACAGTTAGAACTTTTTCAATTTTGCCCCCAAATTCCAAAGTCTTTTTCTTAGTCTTATTTTCCTAACAAGCTTCTTAAGTTTTGTCAGAGTTACATTGTCAAAATTGATAATATCCAATACTGTAACTTACTAGAAAATTCATGAGGTGTATGCGTGCTTTCAATGTGACACTGCAGTTGAAATGGTGTGGGAAACTGACGGTAGCAATGCTGGCAGGTGGTGTGGTTTTCCCAGCTCTCACTGCTCTGCTTCTCAAGTTCCAAGTGGTGTTTCATGTGGTTCATAAACCTATAAATGATTGTCAACAGGTGCAAAAATTCAGATTTAAAAACACAAATGTAAAAAATAAGTATCTGAATCTAAATCTTAAAAATACAAATACATTACTCAAAAAAAATCTCAAAAGCCTTAAAGTCTTCTAGAAAACTGTGTATTTTAAATAATCACTTTCATTAAGTGGCTAAATAAACATCTTTTCATCTTTGTTTTAAAAGAATTCATCAATGTAATTAATATGAAATTTCAATAATTTGCTCTAATTCTTAATCATTTCAGATTAAAATGTTTTTTTAAAGATAAAAAAAGCAGTCTTTTTTTCCATACACAAATACTATTTACATTTTTAAATAAAATTTATTTACTTGAAAGGAAGGAAATAAAATACTTGAAAGGAAGGAAACCCTACCACCAAAAGCAGCTATAGTCATGAGAGAAATCTTTTAAGGTTGTGAAGATATACAATAGATTCCAACTGTTTAAAAGACAAATTACTGGTATTTTTACTTGTGTCTTGGTTTCTAAATGCATGTAATAGCAATTTTAATGCCTACAATTACGAGAACCTTTTGTTTTATTTAATGATACCGGTTTACTGTTAGCACAGACTGTTCATTTTAACTTGCAGACTGTGCCCTTTGTAGGAAACGTCCATTTTTCAGTTTTACATTCTGCTATTTCAGCTTCCCTAAAAGGCTTCTTATGAGCAGGAACTATGACCTTCAACAGCAAAGAGTGCAATAAAACTGGGAACACCTATTTAAAAGAGCTTACTGAAGCTTTTTACTGAATTTGAAAGTAAAGTTATAACAATTTTTAGTCTGGGTCAACTATTAACAATTACTCACTTTGAACCTGTAAAGAATCTAGAAAGTAAATGATAATGTTATTAATCTGGATAGCAGTCACCATGAAGGCTATAACGTTTATCTCTTTTTCACACCTCCACAATACTACTCTTAAACAGGTTATGGCACACTCTGAAGTATCTTTTTGTCCTCCTTTGGTTTTAACACCAGATCTACAAACACCTATAGAAAATCCTAGTCTTGGAATATTTATATAGAGAGATATGGTCATAAGCCATTAAATTTTCACCTCACAACTTTAAGCAATTCAAGTGTATCTATATAAAATAATCTTTTAACTATCAAGCTTTCTCTCAATTATTATATGAGCCCCCATCAGGAACTCATGCTCTCAAACCAAACTATGGAAATGAGGGAAACAAACAAACAAACTTCTTGCAAGATGTTCACAGAATAAAATAAACCTAACCGTTTTTGGTGACATTCAATGTAGGAAACAAAAGAAAAATACCACACCACAGTATGTTGATGAGGCAGAGAAAAAAAAATCTATAGCTATCAATTTCTTACCATTCTCTACAAACATCAATTTGTCTTCCCAATTTTTACTGTTAAAATATTATTTAACACCTCTAACTCCTTTGGTTATGAAGTATTTACCATTAAGGTTACATTTACTCAACAATTAGTATTTTAAAAAATGCTCAATTCCTGGATGTTATAAGTGCTGTTTGCTTAAAATTTCTAAATAATCTGGTACTCTAAAATGTATAACTACTCTACTGAAAAAAATAATAAAAAAAGGAATTGTTAATTTTCGTATGTTTAATATTAAGTGGGCTAATCTCAAAGGAAAGGCAAAAGCTGTTGCTGAAATAACTTAATATCATATATGTAATATTTAAGTATAACAAGGAACTAAGTCAGTGAAACATATTTGTATGCATGCACCACATTTATTAACATGATTTTTCTGGTGTATTTTACTATTAAAGGGGTAATAATATGGAAATCGGTGACAGAATTATACTGTAGTATTGTTTCAATGTTATATCAAAAAGTACAATATCTCACGGCCCCTGGGTGGCTCTGTCAGTTAAGCAACTGACTTCAGCTCAGGTCATGATATCACAGTTCGTGGGTTCCAGCCCCGCGTCAGGCTCTGTGCTGACAGCTCAGAGCCTGGAGCCTGCTTCAGATTCTGTGTTTCCCTCTCTCTCTCTGCCCCTCCCCCTCCTCATGCTCTGTCTCTCGGCTCTCAAAAATAAACAAACATTTAAAAAAATTTTTTTTAAAAATACAATATCCCTTCTGTTAAACTACTAGGACCATTAACTATTGATGGCTTAATAAAAGGAGATAAAGAAAAGTGAAAACTCATATGAAATAACATACATGAAAGAATTTGGAAACTACAAAACACCACCATAAACAAAGCTTTAATAACTGTTATAGGAGTATATCACAATGTATTTCAGGGTTTTTCTATATCCTTCTTTTTGACCTAAGAACTCACAGGAAAATGAAATAAATACTAGGTCCAGAAGTAACCTATTGGTACCTAAGAATGCTATTTACAAATAATAGTTATCAAGGGTAAACATAAAAAGGCATACATAGGTATGCTTGTATAAACACACACACACCAGTGATGTCTGCAACTTACTTGGAAATGTGTGAGAAAAAAAATAGTTTGATATATGATATCAAATAGATGTATGATAAAATACAGTAAAATGTTAATGGTAGAATCAAGGTGGTAAGTATATAAATATCTGCAGTAAAATTTTTAAAACTTTGTTGAATGTCTGAAAATGTTTGTAATAAAATGAAGAAACAACCTTACCTAATATAAATGTCAAGCTACATAACCAATGAAAATACTAATCAATATGTCTTGTTACTTTGTTCTTGTTATGTACTCATTAATAGGATGACAACTACTAATATGCCATGTAACACAAAGATTACAAAGTAAAGGTCATAAAATTTAAAGCATACAGGTATAAATCTTCAAAATTACACTGGAAATTAAATTTGTAATTTTTGAAGAGGTTAAATTTTGAAATCAAAGCCAACATGTTTCCTAGAACTGGTATTTCTCTAAAGAAGATCACTTTTCCTGCAAGGTAAATGTTCCAAAAATTACAAATATGAATCGAAAGATCTGAGCATTAAATAAGATGAATATGGAAGAGGTCAAACTAGACAAAACATACTGAAGTGGTACTTCTTGTAAAGTGAAGAAAAATAAAATTCAAAAGCAGCTAAGAATGAAAATAATCTCATGAAAATTCCTAAAACCCTGATAATATAAGGGAAATGTTAATTTTCCCTTATTTGAAATAAAGTTTGTCCTTTCTTAAGTTATCTTAAAGAGATACAACTAAGTGGATCCAGGAGTCAACTCTGAATTATAAGAAAGAACAAGTTTTTCAACAGGACAATCTGCCTTTGTTCTTAGTAGAAAGTATTAAAATTACTTATCTAGAATGGCACAGAGAAATACAAGATAAAGATACAACATTTGTGTCTTTAGCACTCCAATTTTCAAACACAAATAAAAATAAGTATTTACATACCTAATATTATTTTTAAGAATTTTCAAGCAACTGAAGCATTTAAAGGTTGTGTGAGTCTTCTGTTCTTCCTGAACATCTCCTTCATGTTTTCCATAATAAAAGTCATTAACTAACATGATCAATTTTCCTTTCTCTGAATCAACAGTCTTGTTTTTATTTGCTGTACTTGAAAATTCTGTTTTAGCCAGTCCTAAAAAGTTATTTATCATGTCTGGACAACAGTACTGAAAGAGAAAAAACATAAGTCTTATTTAACACTTAAAAAAGATTGGACATCAAAAAACAACTGTATGTTTACAACAAGGCCAGACCATGTTAAAACTATGCTTGGTAAATATCTGGGAAAATATTCACCAAAAGTTTGTGGTACATACTCACATTCTAATAACAATAAATACCTATTATCTTAATAAACAACAACAAAAAATTTTTAAAGAAAAACTTTAAAATGAGAACTTGGCTACTGACATAATTTTTTTCCTTACAATTTATCTTTTTGGATATAAATATTGAATAATAACTTAAATGCTTAATTGAAACTAAAACTTATTCAGGGCGCCTGGTTGGCTGAGTGTCTGACTTTTGATTCAGCTCAGGTCACGATCTCAGGGTTGTGGGATTGAGCCCCACTTCAGGATCCATGCTGGACATGCAGTATGCTTAAGATTCATTCTCTCTCTCTCTCTCCCGCCCTCTGACACTCTCCCTCAACCAGTGCACATTCGCCCACTCTTAAATAAGTAAATTAAATAAATAAACAAACAAACAAACCTTATTCATTTCACATTCATGTCAAGATAGAGCATAGAAAGGAAATGTAGGTTATATGCCATAATGTAGATGTTTCATTATCAAGTGATATATGAAATTTCATAATATCTAGTTAGAACTAAAAATTGAGTACAACTAATTTGCCATTGCCCAGACTCAAGATACTAGAAAATGTATGAGTTAAAAAAAAAGCAGCAGTAGTAACACCCTGAAATCTAGAATGCTTAAATTTTTGAAGGGGAAATTTAGTGCCTCATGAGTAAACTCAAGATGTCACATAAACTGGTTCTAAAGTGGAATACTTTCATACAAGAGCTTTTTTTTTTACCCAACAAGATTTAACTAATTCATTTATTGTACATCATTTTCAGTCGTAGAATTTCTCCAGGGCAGTTTTTCTCAAAGGTCAGTCCAAAGAAGACCTACATTAAAAAAACCAGGAGTACTTGTCAAAATGCTAATTCCTGGGCCTACTTCAGATCCATAAACCACAATGTCTAGATACAGGGCCCAGAAATCCTTATTTTTCAACTAGCCACCCAGGTAATTCATTTATAATATAAACCAGCTGACTTAAACTCTTCGTAAATGTGTTACTTAGTAAATTAATAACAACATTAAAAAGTTTGAAACTCTAAACACAACTCTATTCCATTTCTAAGGTAACATCCATCTCTTCTTCTGCCACATCGAAATGTTAAATCACTGGTAAAATGTTCTGAATCACATGAGAAGCTGTTCCAAAACAGGCCTATAACATTTCCTTCAATTGCATTTATGCTTTTCATCTATCAGTTCTGAAGCCTTTAAGAAAAAAAAACACCAAGAAAAAAATATAAAATAGATCTATTTTAGATCTAAAAGAAAGGGGAAAAAATACTGAATAAAATGGGCCCCAAAACAATGACATAACTTGTGATTTAGGAGTTAAGGTTGCATCCATAAGCGAATTTAGGACAAATACATTAGGTCCTTAATACTACATGATCCTCTGTAGTCAACCACTCAGAATAAATACAGTTGAAATGAAACCACAATGAAAAGAGGGAAATGAGAAGGGTTTTCTCTATATGTTTCTAGATATTCCTTATGACACACATAATACTTAAGAGCTGAACACTAGGTAAGTCAGGCTATTTCTAAGGACTTTTATAGGGCTAAGTTCCTTCTAAAACAGGCTGGTTTTGAATTTAAGGATAAATGGAGAAAAGGATAGTTCAGAGTAAATCCATCAGCATTATCAGAAAAAAACTCAAAATACATATCTTATTACAAGTGATGTAATAATATTACAAGTGATGTACCATAGTATCATTTTGATAGATAGAACCGCTGACCTTAACTGCAATTTTACCATTGGAGTGATCTCAAACAATGGGAAAAATTATAATGCACAAAAATGATATATATGGAATAGTGTCCCTAATTAGAAATGTGGACAATCACATATATTCAAACAACAAACCTGGTTTTCAGACTGTAGGAGCTCTTGAGTCATATTTGAGATTCAATACTTTCCTGAAATCTACAAAATAAGTAGTCTATAGTAGAGTGTGTTACAAGGTTATATTTTTCAGAAACATCTAATTTGGTACACCCATAAGAGGTAAAGTTACCTTAATTACTCATAAATTACAATATACATAATAGATGATCAACCGCTTTCTGTGCCTCCATTTTTTCTTTTAAATAAAACAGGATCCGATTTTAAAAATAAATATTAAGTCTCAAAGTGTCTTTATTTTTTAGTATAGTTGTCATACAATGCTACATTAGTTTCATTCACAGTATCTTTTTTTTTTCATTCACAGTATATTTTAAGCAATGTTTCAGATCCCTGTAAGACAGATGAGGAATAAATCACTGAAAACCAAGAATGGACAACCTAGTTCAGAAAATTTAGTAACTGAGAGAAAAGCACAGAATCCCACAGAAAATATCCAGAAGTCAAAAGGCAAGAAAGCAACTTAAATGAGAATTAGGCTTAGAAGGAAGGTTTTACAGGAGGATAGAAAAAGCTATGGGATGGTATGGCTGAGGTATGGTCTAAGATCACCTGGTCATCTTTTATTCAGTCTAAAACCCTTTTGGTTCTAGCCCTTCACTGTAGCTCTAGGTTATCCCTTATTGTCTTCGGTTAGCCATTCGAAAGTATTAAACTTTAATGCCATACACTGTAATTTTAAACAGTAGATACCATCTTAGCACCATTATCATCTTCAGTCCTCCCAGTAGATGGCCATGTGCTAGTGCTTTGTTAGTACCTAAATATTTAGGTAAGATTTTCAGAACAAAGAAGGAGAGATGCTATTTTTAAATACTAAAATACAGAGGTGCCTGGGTGGCTCAGTTGGTTGAACGTCTGTCTTCGGGTTCAGGTGATGATCTCACAGTTTGTGAGTTCAAGCCCCCCGTAGGGTTCTGTGCTAATAGCTCAGAGCCTGGAGCCTGCTTCTGATTCTCTGTCTCCCTCTCTCTCTGCCCCTCCCCTGCTCACACTCTGTCTCTCTCTGTCTCTAAGAAGTGAATTAAGACTAAAAAAATATTTTAAATAAAAAAATAAATAGTAAATTAGAAGTTCCCATTTGATCAGCCTACGTAAGTCAACATTTCCCCCTTTTCCTAGGACTCATCCAAAGCCACAACAACCAAATTCTAAAAATTTCACTTTCATTGAAACTAAGAACCACATAAAATCCACAGACTCTACAAAATATGACAGTACTACCCAAAGCAGCCAAGATCAGACAGAAGACATGCAGGTGGAAGTAGAACAGAGAAGTCAAAAGGACCCAATAGTAACAGATCTTAGAAAGTGTCAGCAAAAATTTGCTAAAGATGAAAAACACACCCTGAAGTGCAAAGCTATATCCTTTCTTCGCAAAAACAGGTGCAGATGCTGGGGCAAGTAGGATGACAGAAGTCCCTCAGACTTCATTTGGTACAGAGAAGTAGACAAGGCAATGCTATAAAGTCAGACACACAAGTCACATTTGCAGGAAACCTTCTGCCCAGCAAAGAGTTATTATATAAACCAGCTAATAGAATGTGAGATTATTATGGCAACCTTGGCTTCCCTAAAGGAGCTTTGTACAAAAGAGCTAGCCCAAGAAAATCCAACTTATTCTTCACTATGATAGAAACTTACATCTGAACAAAAATACTTTAGGATAAAAGAAGGAAAACGTAAAATTCAGACAAAAACGCCATGGAGCAGATGCAGATGAAAACAGTGACCAAAATTTTTGTTGCAAATTTTAAAACCTTAATGACACAACTGTGTCTATTTGGAAGACCATAAAGCAAGAAGAGACGGCAAGACCAAAAAGACATTAAAAAGAGTAACAAAACTGAGGGAAAAGTAAGGAAATAAAATCAGAGAGATAAAGACAAATTAGACAACAGTGGTGAACAGGCATCGGAAAATAAAATGAAGGACACAGAGGTTAATAATAAGAAGAGCAAATAAAAAAAATTAAGTGTTAAAAGAAGAAAATATTTATGCCAGACAAAGGACATCAAATGAATGCATATTGGACAACATTCTCCTCTCCCCTTCAAAAGGCAAAATAATTACATGGAATAAATATTTTTAAATATTAATCAAGAAAATTACACTAAAATAAATTCTCAAATCCCAACACTAAGTCATGTCATTATAAAATTATCAGTCTTCCAAAATAAAGAAATTCTATGGACTGCATGCAAAAAGGTCAAATCACTTACAAAGGGCAAAATAATTCAGGCTTATCCCAGATTTCTCAACAGCAACATTCCATATTGTAAAACAGGAGCACCACAAACAAGATCCTCAAAGTAGGATCCAACTTACTTTATATCTGGACAAACTGTCCTTTTGAGAATGGATAATCGAACTGTTTTGAATATGAAAGACATCAAAAAATGCTGTTCCCAGGCCATGTTTGAGGAAATTACTAGAGGATGAACTTCAGCCCAACAGATAACTAAAAACCATGACAAACATACTGGTAATCAACATATTTACTGTGAAAAAAGATTAAAACAAATATAGAAATAAGGTTAACAAAGTCAAATGCAAATGTTATATGCCCTGGCAATGAAAACATTATACAACCAACAAATAAAAACTGGGAGGGGGTAAAAGTACAGTAAGCATAAGTAAGCTTGAGAAAGGTCACAGACTGCCTCACATATAATAGCAGTACACCAAAGAATATCATTTAGAGCTACCAAACGAAGTAGTATATGTATGAGCAGTTTTAATAGTACAAAGATAAATACTCAGAAAAATAATAATGACTAAAATCAGGCAGGAGAGGAGAAGGTAACAACGAGTGGGTTAAGAATACTTTAACCAACTCTAATTTTACAGAATGGCAAAATGAATATAAGACTACTAGAATTATATCAGCATTCCCTAAAAACTGAAGCTACATACATATGAAGCAATCACATGGTGAAAGACTTTTAA